TGCTCGTGCCCAGGTCCCCGCCGGGGACAGAGGGTGGCAGCAAGCTCCAGGCTGGTGTGCGTATGTGGGCGTGATGGAGTCTGGGGTGCCAGCCGGCAGGGGAGAGGGTGGTCAAGGGGCAGGGAGGTGGCCGGCAGTGGGATTACCCACAGACCAGCCCAGGCTCCAAGCCCCCTGCACGCGCCATCATTCCATCCAGGTCTACCTGGGAAACGCCAACTCAAAGTTCAAATTATTCAGAGTTTCAAGAGTTTGAGTGAATGAGTAAGCGAATGAGTGAGTGAGTGAATGAGGGAATGGGCTGTCTTCCCCTGGCATCTCTCCGCAGCCCCCTCAGACCCGCCAACGCCCCTCCTGCTGCTTTTTCACTTTCACAGCCGGCACTGGCCCCTCCTGGGCTCTGTATCAGTCCTGTTGCTGCCCTGCAGGCTTGGGGTCGTCCCTGGAAAGCCACGGCTGCCACCCACGCTGTCTCCCAGCTCCTCCCCCTAGGTCGTTGGCCCTAAGGGCCACTCTCCTTTGTAGGCACCGACTTGGTAAAACCTGCCTCTCAGAGGAAAGTCCTACAGTCCTCGCTCCCACTTTTCAGGTTTGTGAACGGAATCAGAGAGGATGAGAAACTTGCCCGAGGCCACACAGCTGCTAAGTATTGGCTGGGCACTTGAACGTGATGGGGACGGGCCACACTTAGCAGTGGGCAGCTCCGGGCACTTAGGTCCCAAAGGCCCAGATTTGCAGGGCTCGGCAGAGGGGCCAGGACTTACAAAGGGCCCTGAAGGGAGGGGCTTGAGCCTGGGCCCGCATTCCAGAACTCTGCCTGTTGGAAGCCTTCCCAGCACCTCCTGCGACCCTCAGGGCCTCCCCAGAGGCAGAGTGGACTTGCCAGGTAACTGACATTGTCCTGTGACTCCACGATCCTCCCTCCTGTACGTCCCTGGCTGTGAGCTCCCCAGGGTGCTTGTTCCTGTTTGTTTATTTACTGAAAGAGAGAGAGAGCTCGAGCAGGGGAGGAGCAGAGAGAGAGAGGGGGAGGGAGAGAGAATTCCAAGCAGACTTCTTACTGTCAGCGCAGAGCCCAACGTGGGGCTCGGACCCGCAAACCGTGAGATCATCGCCTGAGCCAAAATCAAGAGTCAGACGCTGAACAGACCGAGCCCCCCAGGTGCCCTCCACCCCCCCCGAGGGCACTTTTACACGCACACCGTCCTCTCTCCCTACCGCAGCCCCCTAGAAAGTGGACACTGTTATCGGCCCCATTTGGAAGATGGGGAAACTGAGGCCCAGAGAAGTTTGATAACAGCCCGTCACCCACGGAGACAGGGCAGGAGTGGGCCCGGAGTCCCTGCTGCCTCAGGCTCAGTTCCAGGGGCTCCCACACGTGTGGGCGGCGGTGACCGGCCCAGGGCCGGCTGAACAGAGTGCCAGGCAGCACCAGGTGGGAGGCGGGGCTGGAGGACAGCAGTCACGCCTGGGCCGCAGGCTCTGGCTCGGGGCCCCGAAAACCACCCACCTGGTCGCTCGGCAAGACCCAGATCTCACGTCTCAGAAGGGCCGTGCGTCTCCTCTGTGGGCTAGCTGAGGGGAGAGGCTGCTGGGTCAGCTCCTCCGCGGCCCCCTCCCCGCCACCCCCCCAGCAGGCCCCCTGTTCCCTGGTTACTCCGTGCCTCCTTCACTCCTGCTGTCACCTGAACCCAGGGTGTCCTTGCTTCCTCCTCTGGTTAGAGTCCAACTCTGTCTTCAGGATTAGCCCAGAGGCTGCCTCCTCCAGGAAGCTGTTCCTCACCCACCCACCCTCTCACCTGGTCTCCCTACGCCTTTATCTTTCTAAATCCTTGCAGGAACCAGACACAGCCTCAGGGCCCTCAGTTTGCCCCCATTTCCTGCTCCCAGACCCGGCACAGGAGGGAGGGGAAAGTGTGGGCTGCCCTGAGGCTCTGGCTGGGCTTGGCCGGATGCCCAGGGCCGCAGGAAGGGGTTCACAGCACCCTCCTCCCCTGGTCCCCCAGGGCCGCACCCCCACCCCACCTAGGCTCAGGGCCACCCTACATGGCTGCTCGCTGGCCGTGAGTGCTAGGACCCCTAGTCTCGTTTGTGCATCGAGGTAATGAGGCTGTCGTAAGGGGCAGGTGTGTGCGAACCAAGTGGCGACGTCGGGCCTTTGTAATAATTCCACAGGCTTCGTACCTACTGGTAGGTTCCGGGAGCTGCTAGTACTCCTAACTTGTCCTCCATCAACCAAGCCTGTAAGCAAAACCTGGTGCTGGGCTGAGGGTGGGCAGGGTGGCCTAGAGATGGTGTGTGTGCCCGCGCGCGCGCGTGCGTATGTGTGAGTGTGTGTGTGGCGTGGGTGGGGGAAGCCCAGGCTCTGCTTCATTTCCACCTTCAAGGGCCACGTGTCCCCACAAACTCCCTCTTCCCTCTTCTCTGTTACCACTGTCACATGTGCCACCGTGTGAGTAAACGTGTGTCCTCCTCTGAGTCTGCACCCACTGTGACCCCACCGGTCTGTGAGGGCCTGGCACCCCGAAGTGTGTGGGGCAGGGGTGAGGTGAAGAGGGATCTCGGGTGTCTCCCGGCCCCTCACAGCTACCGACGGGCAAGCCGAGGCCCAGGGAGGCTGGCGAGGGGCGGGGGCAAGGGACACAGAGAAGTGGGGCAGCGTTGGGAGGCCGCAGCCAAAGCAAGGACCTTAAACTAGGTCTTCGGTTTGATCTCAGGTGGGGATCTGGGTTCCGGAAGGCTCTGAGAGCTGCAGTTACAGGTCAGTTTCAGGCCAGCAAACGGGGCATCCTGGGGACGCAGTCGTGTGTCATCCTGTGCCTGCCCGGAGCCGAGCTCAGGTGTCTCCTTAGCAGCCTGAGTGGCCAGAGTGGGGCGCGAGGCAAGCCACCCTCCCAAGGGCTTCTGGGAAGCTGCATCGGTTCTGCAGGGTCTCCAAGAAAAGGGGCCCCAGAGACCCACGGTACTCTGAGCCACCCCAGACGTCCTGGGGTGAGGGCCACAGGCTGGGCTTTCCCCCCGCCCCACCCTCGGTCTCTGGCTTCTCAGTCTCTGCCCAGCCCAGCCCGCATGCCTCCTCTCCACAGACAACAGTGTCACTCTCTGGGCTTCCTGTCCCCAACCACACTCTTCTGTGGGTTCACACAGCAGCTTGCTGAAACCCAGCTCTGATCAGGCCATCCTGAAGCCCTCTGGCTCCCGACTGCCTGTGGAATAAAGTCTCCCTTTCCATGGCATTCAAGGCCTTCCGTCTCTACCAATGTCTGGAATGCCCTCAAGAGAGGAGAATAGGGGTTTCCCAGGTAGGCGGTGGCAGTGCTGAGCCTTGACCTGATGTGGGCTGGCCGGCGCTCTGAACTGCTGGGCTGGGCACAGCTTTCCTGGTCCTGAGCCTGCATGCGTGAGGTCATCCGGGAGGGCGTGTGGGTGTGTCCAGCGAGCACATTGGGCCGCTGTGGGATATTCCCCACAGCTTATACTGCGAGGGCCACATCCTGGGACCGGCTTTTCTTCCGGCTGTCTCTTCTCGATTAGAGCTCCTGAGGCCCCCCCCTCCCA